ATACCTTTACTTAAATTAAGGCAGTCTCTAGCCTTTTAGTTTAATAAGTATATATATACCTTATAACTTATAATATAATATATACTATTATAACTAATATAGATATAAAGCAGGCTTATAGTAAGTATATATCTTATAGATATACTATATATACTAACGTTATATTAATATTAAGCTTTAGTGATTATTTATATAAGTAAGACCTATTATAAACTACTAAAGAGTATTTATAGTATTTACTTATATTCTATAAAATATATATTCTCTAAAACTAATAAAAGAGATATCTAGACTACCTTACTACTTTAAAGCTATTTAAGCTTTAAAAAGTAAAGGATAAATAAGAATATCTTTAGTATATATAGGATATATATAAGACTTAACTTAATATTAAGTCTTAGTTTACTAAGAAGAAAAAGGGATAGATTATAGCTACTTTTATCTAATCCTTTAGTAAAATATTAGCTTAATAGTAAACCTTTATATAGAAGTATACTAACCTTATAAAGTTAAGCTATACTTAAAATAACTTTACTACTAATTAAAATCAGCTTCTACTTTAAGTTATATTAAAATAAGTATATCTTTTACTAATATACTATATATACTAAAGTAGGCTTAAAACTAAGTATATTATATTCTAAGCTATTTCTTAGTAGTAGCTATACTTAGGTTAAGGCCTATATATATAGAGGGATAACTTAAGGTTAATATATATTATAAAGAGCTTTTAGCAAACGTATTAATATTAGCAATAATATATATAACACTATAAAAAACACCTATATATCCCTTATAACCTATTTAACCCTCTAAACTTATTAATATTAAGTTTAGCACTTAAGTTAAGTACATAAAATATAATCTTAGTTTAGAAATCACCTAAGTAGAGTATATAGTTAGTATATACTCTACTTAAGTATAATATACCCTTTTTATTATTACTACTTACTCTCTACTTATATTAATATTAAGTTAGAGATATATAAGATTTAAACGCAGAATAAGTAGACTAAGAGCTTCTTTAACTTAAGCAAAAAACTTATAAACTTTAAGCTTAAAAGCATAAACATAAACTTCAGAAAGAAATTACTTAACTTAAGCAGGAACTAAGTAATAAAGAGGATTCATAAAATAGTTTATATATATATAGAGTTATAAAGAAATAATAAGAAAAAACTTATATTAATTAAGTATTATAATAAGTTATATATATATAGAGCATATACTAATTATAATATCTTAGCTAGAAAGAGAAATATTCTACTACTTTATATATATATATTATATATATATATAGTATATTAAAAGCTAAAGCTAATAAAAGATCTATAGTTTTTAGAACTATTATACGTATTATCTATATATATCCTCTATATATACCTAAGCCTAATCCTCCTTATTATTATTATCTTCCTTAATAAGCTGCACTTATTACTCTCCCTACTCTTTAGTAAGCTAATCTTAAGATATAGTTAGTATATATAGCATATATATTAAGATAAAGCAAAATATATACTACAATAAAGGCATAAAAAAGCAATAATAATAGCTAAGTTATTACTCTTACTTAGCGTATAATTAATATATATATAAAATAAATAAAATATAAAATATACCTTTAGTAGCCTTTTTACTAGTAATATAAGCTTTTAAACTAAAGTTAGCTTCTATTATAAATAGGTATAATATATATAAAGTATACTCTTATTAAAGGTTTACTAAGAAGGGGATAGAGGTATAAGCTTATATATATAAGTAGTACTAGCTTATATATAATATTAATATATATAGAGGTGAAATATAATATAAGATAAAGTTATACTTTATACTTACTACTAAAAGGAGTTCTAGTTAAAGTATTAAAATAAGCAGTATACTATAAGATTATTAGTATATTCTCTATATATATAAAGCTTATTCCTAATTCCTCTATTATTATCTTATAATTATAGTTTACTAAGTTACATATTATATTAGGTAAGGGTAAGTATAATCTATACTTAGTATATACCCCCTCTATAACTTAAACTACTTTTAAACTAAAGTTAGTATAAAAGTTTAAAAATAATTCTAAAGAGTAAGTAAAAAGCTTATTAAGATAGAACTTACTCCCTCTTTACTTATAGTATAGAATAATTACTATAAACTAAGAGAGTATAGTTAGTATATATAATATATATAGTAAATATATAGTAAATATATAGTAAATATATAATATCCTCTAGTTATATATATATATAACTTATATAGTAGAAATATAATCTATAAATCTTATAGAAAGCTAAATTAATATAACTATATTAGATATTAGTAATATATATATATAGGTAATATAAAGGATAAACTTATATAAAAACCTCTATTTAGTTAGTAAAGTAGCTAATAAAGCTATCTTTAAAGCTATAGCTAGATAATATATTAGTATAATATATATAGAGAAACTAAGAAGTATATATATAAACTCCTATATAAAGATAGTATTATACTAAGTATTAGAGCATATAAAGAAGCGTAAAGCACTATATAAAGTTAGTATACGCTAAGTATATACTAAGAAGTAATATATTTTATACTTATAATAACCTCTAAACTACTTAAGTTAATATAAGTTAGGTTAGTAACTATATAAAGTTAGTATATATATAGTATAAGCTAGAAAAAGAAAGATATATTTACGCTAAAGTATTATTAATAACTATAGTAGTATTACTATAAGAGTTAAGTTAGAGAGTACTTAATATATATATAAAACATCCTAAATATATAGCTAGCTAAAAGCAGAAAACTACACTATATATATAACTACTACTAATATTAACTATATACTTAAAATATTATTAGTATATATAGAGAGGTAGTAAGATAGATACTAAACTTATACTTAACTATTTAAGCTAAAGAGGCGCTTAGTAAGGTTAGGAGCTACTATTAAATATACTTAATATATACTAAACCTATAATAAGTAAGTTAAAATATATTAATATTTATAGCTAAAGTGATATTAATAAGGTTAGCTTAAGATATATTAGCCTAAATTTATATATATATATAAAGTATATTAAAACTTACTATTAAATTAGAAATTAGGATTATTATTAATAATAAAGCCTAAAATATATTAGTTTTATAATAGTTTTAATATAAGCTTTATATATACTAAGTATACTATAGAAATAGCTAAACTAAAGGTGCAAATTAACTATATTATTAATATTTATATTAATAAATTCCTAAATAGATATCTAAGATATTATTAATATATACTAAATTAATACTAAAAAAGGCGCTTTTTATACCTTTACGTTAGTAGTAATTATTATAATATACTTAGGGGAGGAAAAGAAAAAAATAAGCTTAAGTAGAGGAGATATAAAGTATATACTAAGTATAAGCTATATATAGTAAGGGTAGGAACTAAAGCTTCACCTATTTCTAGGGCGACATATAGCTCACATAAGCGAGGCCCTACACTTAAGTAGCTGCATAAGCATAGAAAAAAATTACTATATAGGGAAACATAAAGTGTGCATAACGCAGAGGATCTATTCTTCCAGCACTACCACACCCCCGTAGGTGGATTTTAGACCCCCCTGCAAGCAGCACTCCGCGCAAAGTTCAGGGCTGATCATGATTTTTCGAGACCCTAAAATCCAACTTTTGGCTTCAAATCACCACAGCATCCCGGCCATGTGTCCAGGGCATGGCAGCCCGGAACGGCAACAGCATGTCGCGAGTGTCGGTGACCACGTGAGCGGCTCAGGTAGTAATGTAAATCCTCGATCATCACCGGCCGGTGAACCCACAATGAGAGGATATTTATTGACCCCGCTAGCGATGCCGACCCTGCGTTAGGCATCGCGTTGCTCTCGTTAGCCCGGCACCTGTCGCAGAGAGGCCGATCGCGTTCCTTTGTTAGTGGGCATGTGGCATTCTTCAGCGGACGTGTCGCCGCCGCAAGGCTGATGCACTAGAAACAGGGGACCCGCCAGCGGGCAGAATCCCGCTTCGTTGCTGCTCACCTGCCCCAAGCGCCTGCATAAACTGCCAGCGAAGCACCTTGCATCGAGATGAATGCGAGTTTGAAAGGGCATTGTGTTTATTTTTGCCGTCTTTCCTATGTCGGAATGACAGTGCGTCCTAGGTTCAAAGGTTCTGTAAGACTCATAGAGTTAATAAACGCAAAAATAGAGAATATAGTACAGACGGCAACGACAGCACAATAATACCTCTTGAAATATCCCACGAGAAATAAAGTCACCTTATCTGTAAGATAGAATTCTCTTCGGAGACCGCATCAGTAGCTACGTCTCCAGGGAACATTGCTCCCAAATATCAGAACGCACTGATAGAATACATAACCTCAACAATGCCATGAAAGAAAAATTCTGGCGTCTTGTGGTGCAACCACCCACCCAACCAAAGCTGTGCGTCTGCCTTTGTTTTGATTAGATAAAGCCCGGTGATATCTCGTATCGATAACACAGACCGTATCTTATCTAACTTGCCTTATCGATAGGAATCAACAATCTAATCGATAAAGCTCCCCTCCATCTTATCAGCAGCAGCACCCTTACCTCACCCACCCATCGCCCACCCGCCCTCAACAACCATACACAGGGTGACGTCAAGCCCAAGCACCCGCAACGCAATACCCATATGACGGCATCAACCACACAATCTGATGTCAAACGCCGCAACCAGTGGCAGGCCACTCGGTGCGAGCTTTCCCACCTCTCGGGGCCTCTCTCGGGGCCTCAAACGCCCCATTGACGCAAGAGCTCCTCCTCCTCCTGCAGCAGTAGCAGCTGCACCTTACCTAAGAAAGCTCCTGCCCCTCTTCCCGACCTTCGTGATCTTGCTATATAACGTGAAAACCTCCTGTTCCAGACCTTCTTCCGTCTCCCAAGACAAACGCTTCCAAGACACAGCACACTACAACGGTCGCCTCTGCAAACTACCTCATCTTAAACAAACCCCATCTGAAATCACATCCAAAATGCCTTCCGAAGGTCGCCAGTCTCCCCCTCCCGAGCGCCAGACCGGTGCCCAGCTCAACGACCCTCCCGCCTCCGGCAAGGGAACCGACGATGCCACCAACAAGGAGCAGGTCAACAAGGAACATCTTGAGGTGAGCCTCCCTCCCATCATTCCCTGACGTCTTCATCTAACCATACCCAGAACCTGTCATCCAACCCCAAGGGACCTCTTGACGATGCTGTAAAGGACAAGTTCGCCAAGACCGAGTAGATTATTGGATACCATCATATGAAGGCGTTGGGAATGGGACATCATGAAGGCATGAGAAGCACTGAGATGAAATCACGATTGTGATGCTGTATCAATAGATGTATAAACCAATGCCAATTGAAAGTGCATTGATTAATTACGTCTTGCTTATTGCCTGTGATACTTATGTGATCCATCCCCTCTGCGAAAGCTACCATTATGGCACACACGCATATCGACTCCTGTGATTTTGTATGCATCTTACGTGCATGGCTGGACAATATGCATGCTTGGACAACCTGATGTATTTAGCCAAAATTCGTATTCATCCGACGGGCAATGTGCTATGCCCATGCAAGGGACTTGTGGTAAAACGCTCTGCTGTCACGTCATCACGAACAAAAGCCTCAAATCACGCAGACAAGTGATTGGGTGAATTTCCCGAAACCAATTATTGATGCATTCAATCGCATTGAAGTCGCAACTACCTAGAGTGCCTAATAGAACCACGTGCACCGCAGTCATCGCATTGCAGTCATAAAACGTTCGTGCCTAATGAAACCAGCCAACGCCTACCCTCATGTCCTTTTCGTGCCAATCGCTACTCTTACGCAGTCTTCTCGGAAGTGGCCTCGGTGGGCTTGGAGAGGGGGACAGCCGTCGTAGGGTCGGGCTGGGTCGGGGCCTGAGTGCCGATGGTCTCGCCAGTGGCCGGCGGCACCGCCTTCTCCTTCTCCTTACCAAGGAATCTCTCGAGACCGGAAGCCTTGTAGGCGCTGCCGCCGTGCTGCTCCTTCTTCAAGTCCGCCAAGCGGCGGGCCTCGGTGTGGATATCCTGAACCTGTCTCGAGCCGTCCTGGTAGAAGGTGACGATGCGCTTGCCGGTGGGGGAGCTGGTAGCCTTCTCAAAGTACGAGCTCAAGCCGCCAAAGAGACCCTGAGCCCTCGCGGTGATGCCGTAGGACTGGTCCGTAGCCTTCGCGCGGTCGGTGGCGTGGTACTTCTGGTCAAGGTTCTGGAGGGTGCCGAAAAAGCGGCTGGAGACGCCGTGCTGGGTGTCAAGCTCGATGGCGCGCTGGAGAGCGGCATCCCCAACGACGTAGCCCTGGGCGAGGTACTCGGCCAGGATGCGAGAGCGGGGCTTCTCCTCCTGAGTGATCTCATCGGTATCACGGTTCGCGTTGTCCTTGAAGTGAGAGCCGTCGTCGTTGGAGTCGCCGCTGGCGCTGGCAACGGTGATGTGGGAGGTGCCAAGCTGAGTGTTATTCAACAGGAGAGCAGTCTTAGCAGCAGTCTCCTTCTCGAAGGTGACGGCGGCATCCTTGGTCTCGCCGGCGGGGGTGACCTGAATGTCTGTGATCTTGCCGCTGCAGTCTGTTAGCTTCTGCCCGAAGAAAGGGTGCGGAATGCGTCCGGGTAGCAGACGTCAGGCTATCTCGGTGCCTTTGCAGTGTGCGAAAGTGCGGGGAAATGTACTCACCAGAAGCTGAAGAAGTCCTTGATCTCCTTATCCTCAGTCGCCGCAGCGATGTTCTTGACGTGGACGGTGGTGTTGGACATGATGATTGTAGTTTTTTGCCTGAAGTCGGTGTGGTGTTTGGAAACAAAGAAGTTGTAGGAGGGAGCTTTGTGGTTTGTGAGGGGTAACTGGAGACGGGAGCGGGTATCAAACAAGGGATGTATATGGGTGCTGTCTCACAGTGGATGTGTGTTGAATCAGGCGGTCAAAGGAAGAATAATCGTAGACTCGACGTTGGGAAACGCGTGAATGGATGGGCTTTTATGACGACGTGTCGAGTTCTCGAGTATGGGAAAGTTGGAGAGGAATCAAGATCAGACGAAGGGTCACAAGGACGCGCTTTACCTTTTAGCCAAGGCAAATCCCAGGAAAACAGGAGGCAGAAGGCGATGGAAGGGCAAGGGAAGGGGGCGGCCTCTCACCAGCAGTGACGATGCTTGACGCCGCAGCGCCCTGTTGAGGGAGGGGCGACCCGTCATTCTCAGTCCTCAGTGTGCCGGGGAAGGGGCAGGGGCGACCACTGCTGCTGCTGCAATGGCGGGAAAGCAAGGAGCAGGGGCCACTCAGGGTCCAATGCTGGGCAGAGCAAGCACAGCAAGACCTCCTCTGGGCGAGGGGGGCGACTGCCAAACGTCATCGCCCGCGACCGTGAGGAGCTCGTGCCAGGGGTGGGGGTGGCTGTGGCGGCACATCCAGCACGGGCCACAGTTAGCCCCGCTAACAGAGCCACACCTCAGCCACGTATATCTCCACCAATTTCGCGAGAAAGAATACTTTCACATGCATTTCTTTCACATATCCCACCTACTGGAACATGCCGCAACATCAGACGCCCATTCATCTGGTCTTGGGACGATGGCCCATCGTGCCATTGCCCTCAACCCAGTCCGCGTACGGATACGACACGCTTGAATACGCCTGACACACCCGGTTTGCCGTGATTGCGACGCGACACCAGGACGACGTGGCTTGTGGCTCGTACACCGACCGGCACCCCAAACTGCACGGAAGAACTCTGCCTTCGTTTGACCATCTCTAGCTCGTCCCATCTTTCACTGCAACTACCAAACATTCAAAATGACGCCGCGGCATCTTCCAATATCACCTCCGACGCCTTCTGGCTGACCATGAACGTCGCGATCAAGGGGAACGCGCCCGGAGCACGTGGAAATACGCTCGCATCCACAATCCTCAACCCCTCGACGCCGTGCACCCGAAACCGAGAATCCAGCACTGCCATGCTATCCTCCGCCGGCCCAATGGCACAAGTTCCCGACGGATGATGGCCAAATGTCTGGGCCCGGATCCATTCCTCGTCCGACGTTCCGTCTCCGTCCTCGCACTGGCCGTCGCTCCCGACTTTCGAACACGGCGGTTCAGCCGGCGCCAGCGGACCCCAAGGCCCCCCAACATCGCTCATCACCCGACGGCCCCACGCGGCAACATCTGCCAACGCTCCAAGGTCTGTCTCGGCGCCCTCCTGGTACAGCTGAAAGTTGATCTCGGGTGGCTCCGTCGGGTCCGCCGACCGGAGCTTCAGGTATCCCGCCCCGTTTTGCGGATTGATCTTGACAGTCGAAAAGCCTGATGTGTTTGGTGTCCCAAAGAGCTCAGGCTGGTTCACATCCGGCCAGAAACCCCGGAATGCCCCGCCTTGTACGCTGAACACAAAGATGTCGCGTTCCCCATTCACCGAATGATTTGAACGCATCAACAGGACATTCGAGTTGAACCCAGGTCGCATGTACGGACCCAGGCCTTTCTTCCAGAGCTCGTAGCACGGATCATTCGGCATGCCTTTGTCGCAAGTCGGTTCGTTGGGGTTGGGAATCGCCGTGAAGTTGATCTGAGCTAGTCCGACGACCGGAAATTCTTGATTATCCTGGAGATTTCGCCCCACCCCAGGCAAGTCAGCCACAACTTTGATGCCGAGTGCTTCGAGATCTTGCCGGTCGCCGATCCCGCTGAGTTGCAGGAGTTGCGGGGAATTGAAGGTGCCTCCCGAAACGATGACCTCTCGAGATGCGAAAGCTCGTTTGGTCTCGCCTGGCACTGAAGCGTTCCGCCTCGGATCAGCGCCATATGTTGAAGGGCCTTTGAGGTATTCAACTCCGACCGCTCTGGGTTTCTCGTCTTTCCCTTCCTCAAACAAGACCTTGGTGGCTAAAGAGGTTGACGATAGTGTCAGGGGATACTTGGCTGACCCGTCCTCATTTTCCGCTGCAATTGTCTCAAAGATGTAGTCTCGCGGCGTTGACCTCTCCCACCTCGCATTTGCGTGGAACACCATGCCCCAGAAACCTTCTGTGAAGTCCCGATCATTGGCAAGATAATTGGGATCGCTGCCGAGCATCTCAATCACCTTCTCCGGATCCAATCCCAGTGATCTGATCTGCGCCTTGTACACCTCGACCAGACCCGGAAACGGTAGATACTGAGTGCCGTTTCCCATATTGGTCTCCAGGATACCGCCAAACCCGTGTCCTGGCGTGCCTTCGGGGAGATAGTTGTTCTTCTCAACCTTCTCAAACATCCGCCTCATGTTCTCATGCCTACATCCTGTTAGCTTGAGCTTTCTTTCGAAGCCTCGTCAAAACTCACCTCCAAGATCCATCGCCCGTGATGTTAGCCACATAGTCCCAATCCCCATCACTGGGTAACAGCGTCCCCATCGCATTCACCACCGCCGAGCCCCCAATCGTCGCACCGCGCGGGTAGTACACGCCCATCAGCTCCGCCCCAGGCGGTGCCCGCTCACCGTTGCCGACCCAGAACGTGCCGTTCGGGAACCGCCACGTGAGGTGGTTGTGGCGCAGCTCGACTTCCGGGTCGGCGTGGTGCTTCACCCAGAAGCCCCAGCTGTTGGAGGTGGTGAGGGCGTACCCGCCGTTCGCGAGCGCGGTGCCGATGTCGTGGCTCTCATCATCACCCGCTTCGAGGAGCAGAGTTGAGAAGCCGGCGCGCGCGAGGTTGCTGGCAAGAGGACCGCCGCCGGGACCGCTTCCGATGACGATGTAGTCGTATGTGTTGTTTTCGGCAGAACCTCTCGCGACGACGGTGTTGGTGGTGATGGAGAGTAGGGTACCAACACCCAGGATCAATCGTCGGGAGAACATGACGGCGGTTCTGGCTCAGAGTATTCCCCGCAGCTCTTAAAAGACATGTTTCCCATGACGATGCGATGGAACCTGTGCCACCTTTTGTACTGAGGTAGGAGGGCCTCTACTACGAACCCTCAGCCGAAAAGAGGGGTAACTACATTTGTCCTCTTTCAGACCTTGAGTCCGAAGAGTCTTCAGATTCAATCTCGAATGATGACTGCATCAAGACCCCGGCCGATCTTTGTCCCTACAAGCTCAACTGTTGCTTGGCGGGTGTAACCACGGCAGGGGGACTTCTCACCCGAGAGGGGCCGGTCATCTATCCAGAATCCTTTTTGTGTATCCGAGAATGCGACGCTGGTCGGCTGAATTGCTACTCCTCAGCGATAACCTCGAATCAAGCTTGAGCGAGAGGCGCTCATGGATCGGTGAAGTTGTAGTCGCTCGCGATTCAGATGTTGATCTCCGACTACGTCACTGATGGCTATTGGAGTCTCAGGCTTTACGAAATAGTCTCTATCCTTGTCTATACCTCTATGAATGCGCATGCCTCAAAGGCAGCATCTATCGCAAAGACTGATCTCCTTTTCCAAGCTCTCTCTCCGAGCCTATTCAAGGCGTCCGGGTATCACTCTAGAATCAATCGCCAAAACTCATGAAGCGAAGCCATATCCTCCTCTCTATCACAACGAGGAAACACACGCGCACTTCTTGTCGCGACAAACCGAGACCTCGCCAACCCGCTGTCCGCAGCAGTTCTTCGCACACTCCTTATCCTCCTCACACTCCTCCACGTCTTCAAGCGCAATCATGCAATGCTGGCAGTGGCACTCCCCCTCCCAGCACATAACATTGTTCGCCGAGGCGCAACTCGCAGGGCCAAACTCGCCGGAGCAGCTGGCATGGGTATCACACCGCCACGGCTTGCACGCACACTTGCCGCTCTCGCAGACCTTGCGGTCGCTGCGCTGGTCGCACGTAATACCAACGCACTCCTTGGACTCCTTGCACACCTCGCCGGCGCGCTCGGGGCGGTGGAACGGCTCGGAAACGGTGAGCTCGCACTTGTTCTCGCGCGAGCACGTCTTGTACGGGCGCGTCTCGTTGTTGCGGAGGACGTAGGTGCAGTCCGTATGCTTGGCGCAGCCGGTGTCGTCGGTGAACTTGACGGCGCACTCGCAGCTGCCGTCGTTGCAGAAGCCGGACTGGACGATGTTGCAGGACATGAGGCCGGCGCAGTGTGAGTCGAGGTTGCACGCGGCGCCGACTTGACGAGGGATGGGCTCGCAGCGGCACTTGCCCTGGCGGGAGCACGATGGGAAGTGGTGCTCGGGGCAGCGCATCTCGTTGCACTCGGACTCGACGGCGCAGGCGTCGCCGGGGACGGGCCGCATGACGCAGTAGCAGCCGTACCGGTTGCCGTCGGCGGGCTTGACGCAGGCTGGATACATGTCATCGAGGCAGGGCAGGGTGATGCAGTTTCTGGCCCAGGCGCATGTCGAGCCTGCGCCGGAGGGCTGGGGGATGACGGTGGGGATTGTCTTGGTCGGGATGGGCTCCCACTCGGAGAGGACGACGGTCGTGAAGGGCTCGGTGCCGGTCCAGGGTGTTTCTACCGTCAAGGGGAAGCTGGTCGTGGTGTTTAGGGAGGCGACGCGGGTGGACCAGGCTCTGGTGCGGGCGTTGGTGAGGCTCGAGGTGATTGTGATGTTGTCGTTTCTCTCTTTGATGACACAGCGACAGTGGTCGAAGAAGCACACCGCCTGTCTGTTCTCAGGACAACTGAGGGTGCCGCACTCAGAGTTCGAGAGGCAGGACTCGGTCGGGAGCGGCAGAGCAAGTGGGGCGCGCGTGAAAGTCATTGAGGATGATGGCGTCAGCTTCGCTGGAACCTTGCAAGCGGGAGCGGTCGCTTGTCGGCCTTCAATCATGGGATCACCTCCAACGTCCTCGGGATCAATTGGCGGAAGAGGCGGCCAGAACAGGTCATCGTCTGTAGGCGGCACGACCCGGTGGCCATCACCACACCACAAGTTCTCCCATACAACGTTCTTCTCCCATCGCAGCCTCAAGGCCTTGAAGCCTATGCCAAGCCCCATGCTGTCGTCGTGCGGATGGTACTCCCAAGAAAAGACACCCCATTCGGGATGGTCTTGCCTCGACTTGCCAAGGTCGCTCTCGAAGTGCGGGCGATACGCGATATCCACCATCTCGTCAATTGACAGTCCAAAGTCGAGGAGGAGCTTCTCCTTGATCTGTACAACGACGCTGTGATGCATCATCACGTCCTCGGGGAACGGAGGGATGGACCCGCGGGAGACAATGAAGGCCTTGACAAAATCCATTTCCTGCACATTGAAGGGTCCGCCAGGCTGGAAGTACTGGGCAAGCCCCGGGTTCTCATGTTCGTCTAGGGGATTCGCGGTCAGAGAACGTTTGTTACCTCTGAAGTTGCCGGTCCCGATGTGGTCGATGATGTCTTCCTTCAAGTACTGTTCCGTGGGCAGGGGGTACGCCTCCTGGAGCCACGCGTTGTTAGGCTCTGCCTCTCCTCTCGTGTGTCCGGGAACTTCCCAGAAGTGACTGGTCCAGACGGCTTTCGGGGACACGACGATGAGCATGCTACAGCCCCAGACAGGACCTGAGCCACCGAAGCGAGGTCTCTCAACGGGAACTTCAGTAATCTTCTCCCGGTCAAAGAACGTGATCTCGCTGGTTGACCAAGGCCTCGGGTATTCGTCCTCTTCGTAAGGCCAGGAATCAGGAGGTCCGCCAAAACCTGGACCGAACTGATCGATCACGTTTCGCATCGACTGCCACCACTTCAACTCTCCCTCAGGCGAGTCCTCGGGCTGGACCATCTTGTCGTCATTGGTGAGATACACTTCGTCAGGTGTTGGGACCTGTCCCGGCCAGGGGTCGCGTTTCTGAAGTTCTTTGCTGGAAGAGCCGCCGCACGAACCGCAGTTCTTCTTGAGCATACAGAACTGAGGCACGGGGCAGGTGTCGTCTTGTCGCTTGGAAATCGATGAAGTAGAGCGCTTGTCGACATGCATGCCGTCAGGTCCCGCGATGAGTCCATCGCCGCACCAGGTCTCGCGGTGGATGACGTCTCTCTCGAAGCGAACCACGAGCTCTCTCTTGCCACTGTCTCCCTTGGGAGTGTACATCCAGGAGAGGAGACCGTGCCAGGGCTCTGCTTCACGGAACTCAGGGGGAGGAGTCTTGCCTTCGTCGTGGTGGTGGTCCTCGCCGAGCTCCTTGCGACGCTTGTAGCCGTAGATGGTGATGTGCTTCTTGTCGATGCCAATGAGTCTTCCGGTGAGGAGGTCAATGATCTCTTGGTTGGCCCGAGGATACACCATGTTGCCGCTGACATCGATCGGAACGAAGAGGATTACCCTGTAGAACTGGGTGTTTTTGGGGTCGAGCTTGTCTCCGACCTCGACGAGATGTCGAAGGGCCGGGTACTGCTTCTGATCGGTCCAGGCCGCAGAGCCATGTCGAAGGAAGTGGTGAACGTTCTGCCGGAAGTAGTGCGCCTCATCGTAGTTCAAGGTATCAGTGTCGAAAGCCTCTCTATCCTCGTCGGGAATCGAGAAGTTGGGGACCTCCCACATGTGATTTGTGTAGATTCCAGTGGGCGAGAAGACCGCGACCATCGCGCATCCCCATACGGGTCCGCTGCCGCCTCCCATCGGGTACGTCTCGGAAAAGTCCTCGTATATGGCTGACGAGTCGGCGTGAATGGGGCTGCTCTGGTGATACCCGGGACCGTAGTACTTCACGATGCGACGCATATTCTCCCACCAGTCAGTCTCGCCCTTCTCCCACGTCTCGGGGCCGGTCATGGTATCCTGGACGATGACATCTTCGGGGATGGTGCGTTTCTCGAGAGTCGAGCGCTTCTCGAGGCCGTCGTTGCGCTTGACCTTGCTGTCACTGCATGCCGGACACTTTCCGGGGCGGCAGGCACCGGTGGCCTTCGGCTTCTTGGTGGTGTAGGTCGTGGTCGTGGTCGTGCGGACGCTGGTGCAGAGTTCCATGGTCGAGCATCTGGCGGTGTCGCAGCTGGTCGTCCATGTGTTTGTGACATGGTTGGACACCTTGGAGACGACGCAGGGCCGAGTGCAGTAAGGGGCGACGGCGATTGACTCCGTGCAAGACGAAGAGGAGGAAGATGCTGAAGAGGTAGGTGAAGGAGATGCTGTTGGCTGTGAAGGCTCTGGGTCATCGGGGTCTTCCGGCTCGTTGGGATTGTTTCCACCACCACCGCCGCCAATGGGTCCGATGCCAACCAAGCGACCCCAGGTTGGGAGATTGGTTCCGAGGCGTAAGTTGGGAAGGTTCAGATCCCAACGCCAGTTGGGGATCTTTGTTCCGATACGCCAGTTGGGCAGGTTGGTTCCCAAGTTGAAAAGGACGCGGAGACGCCAGCGAATGGTCCAGCTGAATCGGCCGAAGAACCAGAGAAGGAAGTCGTCGTCGAGGTCAATGTCGATACGGATCTCGTTGAGTCTCTTGTGGATCTCTTTCTCCTCGTCGTCATCGTCATCGTCGTCGGGATTCTTGTTGTCGTCATCATTCCCATCATCATCGTCGTCTCCGTCACCATCATCGTCTCCGTCACCATCATCATCTCCGTCACCATCATCATCTCCATTTCCATCATCATCTCCATTTCCATCATCATCTCCATTTCCATCGTCATCGCCATCACCGTCTCCGTCACCGTCATCGTCGCCATTGCCATCCCCATCTCCTTCATCATCGCCACCTTTGCTACCTTTGCCAAGGCCGGGAGGGGCTTTAGGCCAGGAGAAGCCGTCGTCTTTCTCAGGCGAGGTGTAGCACTGGATCTCGGGGATCAAGCAGATCGGGTTGCAGAGATTGAGGGAGATACATCTCCAGACAGGGAAAACCGTGGGAATGACCATGCCGTCTGAGGTCGTCGAGGTAGGGAGGTCGATCGAAAGCCATGTAACGTTCGCGGTCTTGCGGCTTCCATCCGGCTCGGTTGTCGTCGCGATGAAAGGCAAGACGGTGGTGTATTTTCCTGGAGGTGCATACCAAGGACCGATTGAGCCAGAAGCTGGGCGACCAGAGGGGACCGGGCGGGGGCCTGTCTCCGGGTCGTGAGGGATGGGAGTCGGCTTCCCGGTGTTGACTGGCAGAGTGCTTGAGGCGGTAGGAGCGGGCAAGGGTACAACTGGATGGGAAGACGCAGAAGGGCTTGGGATGACGGGGATCGGCTGACGGCTTGTTGTTGAGTCCACGGGAGGCAGCTTCCAGGAAAACGACTTTGAAGACCCTGAGAGGCTGGGAGCGCCAGGAATACTGATGGGAGGAGGCAAGCTCAAAGATTCGGACTCTGAGAAGCTGGGAGCGCCGGGGAGACTGACGGGAGGAGGCACACTCAATGATTCCGAGGAGCTCAAAGGTGGAGGCAGTCCAATACGATCCGTTGACTCCTTGGAAGTGAAGGTCGGGAAGGGAACAGGAGTGAAGCCGGGGACCGAGCTGTCGATAGAGCTTGTTCCAGGGAGACGCAGTGAGGGAATTGTGATTGGGTCATCGGCGGGTGCGTAGATTGTAAGAACGGTGGTATAGACGAAAGGAAAGCGAGTCGTCTTGATGCAATCAAGGGCAGCTGGTTTCGCCTCAAATTCTGTGAACAACTGTTAGCTGATCTTTGTCTCTCATTCATGGGGAGGAAAACGATACTTACGCGCAAACCCCAAGAGAAAGAACTGGGACATTAACAACGCCCAGAGGGCTGCCTCCAGCTGAGTGTGACTGGTGGCAGCCATTGTGACTGAGTATTGTCGATCAGTTGGTGAACCCAGGTAAGAGAGGAAGATGTTGATATTGACGGATTGAGAAGGGGTTTAAGTTGTGAAGTTGTTTGTGTGAAAAGTTGTGGTGGTAGAAGAAGAAGAGGGAGGAAAGATCAGGGACGGCTGAGATCTGGTTTTGTGAGTGGAGCCCACCTGAAGGCAAGCGTTGAGGTGAATTTTCAGAAGCCAGAAAGGCAGGAAGTGGTCTGGGAAGAAGTTTCCATAGTTCTTTGACCTTTGGCCTAGGTAGGATAAGAATCCCTTCACTTCATTCACTGTAGGGAAAGGTGAGATCTAGCGCTAAGCGAGGACAACTTATCTCATAAGTTTCCAGGTCCAAAATTGCAAGTCGTTCTTTCCTCATTGATGATAGATAGAAAATTCCATCTCAGTGAAAAAATAATTATCAATCTGCTCTGAGTTGCTTCTTATCTCAAACTTTCTCCATGTCAACATTCACATGAGACTGAGGTAGTCACCAGATGACCTCGTTTCTGAATCCAACGTGACCAGTGCTGATGTTGCCATTAGAGATATCCACCAACATTGTCCCTAATACTCCTGCAAGTAGGTGCATCATTTCGAAGCTGAGAGCTCTGGCAAAAATGGAGGCTCGCTTATGTCTCATCTTGTATCATGTAGGCGGCAACATGCCGGCGAAACATCCCATAGTAATAAAGCCTGAAAGCACCTCCCTACTGCCAACTGCAGTCTGACTTTGGCCCAAAGCTTCTGCATCATAGTCAGATGACTCTCATGGTAATCAAAAATTTGCCGAAGAACATTAACTGGCGAAAGCGGTGAGTGTCACAGCAGACAAAAAAAGACAGTAGTGGACAACGCCCTTGCATGGACACACTGCCCTGACCTCAAAACATCTTTTGCCACGGTTGAAAAATCATCTTGGGTCAGTCAAACTGCAGACTTTCCTAAATCATGCTCGTTCCATTTTCCAACTTAATTCCTTGTCAATACAGATGCTCAATTCGATTCTAGAGATCCGATTCAATGCTTAAGAACCTATGGCTTGCGTCCATGCGAAACTCAGATGCGGCTTCTATCTCTCGTGTCTCTCACAATGTCAAAGCCAGCCCACCCATCCAGCGCCTCGCGAATCTCTTTGGCGTATTGAGGAATACCACCAGCAAAATTGACCTGCTCAAACGCTTTGCCGGGCATCGAGCCACCCATGTACGTCGACCTAGTCGTCGGGAACAAAGACGCATTGCTAAGGTCGTTGATCCTTTGTTTCCACGTCTTAGTCGCTTCGGCAGTAGGGTTGATGTACTTGATGTTCTCCCTTTCAATCTTGCGGATGCAGTGCGCGATCCACCGTCCTTGGACCTCGACCGTAGAAGGGCCATTGCTCAGAAGAGTCGGTCCGTGGGGGCCGTACATGTGGAACATGTTAGGATACCCGCTGACTGTGGTGCCCAGGTACGTGTTGGCCGCCGCCTTCCACTCGTCTTGGAGGTATGTGTTGTTGATGCTCTTGAGACCCATGTTGGTCATGCCGCCAGTGGTGATATCCTAATTCTTTCAGTCAGCTTCGGCAATCCGGTAGTATGGAATTGGTCTGAAGAAAGCCCGACTTGCAGGTCTCGACTGTTGTGTTCCATGAAAGGGGTAAAACTCACAAAGCCGGTAGCGATAGCAACCACATCAAACTCGTAGTGAGATCCATCCTCCAGCTTGATGCCTGTCTCGGTAAAACTCGCGATGCCGTTCTTGCCGATGTCAACGACGTCCACATTTGGCTTGTTGAACTGCTCATAGTAGTTCTGCTCTAGGCAAGGCCTCTTCACACCAAAGAAATGCGGCATCTTGTCAACGGTAGGAGCCAGAATATCCCTCTTCCTGGCATCACCAATCCTGAGACGGACATTCTTCGACCAGAAGTGGTACGCCTGCTTATTCGCCTCCGCATCGAACAGCATGTCCTTGTAGTTACCCAGCCAATATCTGAAGCCGCCGTGGTCCCACAGAGCCCTGTAAAAGGCCTCGCGCTCCTCGGGTGAGTCGTCAAAGGTGTTGCGCTCATGCATGCCGTAGAAGAATCCGCCGAAACATTTCTCGCGGAGCTGGAAAAGGCGTGGGTACCACCCCTTTGCGACGTCTTGCTCGGCTGGTGTAAGGGGGCGCTTACCCATCGGCACAGCTAGATTCGGCGTTCGTTGGAAGACTTTGAGTTCTCCATCTTCTCCGACGAGTTGTGCCCATTCTTGAGAGATTTGGACACCCGAGGCACCAGTACCAATTACGGCACATCGCTTGCCGCGGACGTTTACATCTTCTTCGGGCCAGAAGGAAGAGTGGTGGACGACACCTTTGAACTTTTCAACGCCGGGCCAGTTGGGGATGTATCGCTTGGATGCCTACGGGACGGATGAGCACCAGGTGATCGAATGAAGGGAGTGGAACATTGAAGTTCACTTACAAAGCCGGCTGCAACAATGAAGTACTTTGCTTCTGCCAAGCGACCGTCGGCAGTCTTGACGTGCCACTTTCCTTCGGTGGGCTGAAATTGAGCGCCAACTACGACTGTCTCAAAAGAACAGTCTTTTGACAGATTCAAGACCTGCAGGCACTCATCTTAGTGACCAGACGACTGCCAAATAGGCAGAGGAAATGCCAATCACAACAAACTTACCTTGTCGACGTGGTCGAAGTAAGCCCGCAGCTCTTGGAAGTTGGGGTAGTTGGTGGACCATGTCCAACCCTCAAAGACCTCGGGCCAAGAGAACTCGTACTCGGGGACCTCAGAATCCACGCGCGCTCCCGGGTACCGGTTCCACCGCCAAGTGCCCCCGAATGAGGTACCGGCCTCGTAGATGACACACCGCAGTCCCACCTCACGGAGGGTCTTTAGCATAAACACGCCCCCTTTGAAATTGTCAGCCGTGCCACAGTCGTACAGAATCGGTCACACTTGGAGGGTGACTTACCGAATCCTCCCCCAACAATCAGGACATCCACATCGAGGTTGTCAGCATACGGCCCTGTAGTCTGACGCCGTGAGGAGTAGTCTGACAGCTCCGTCGCGAATTTCTTGCCGCTTGTGGCCGCCATGGTTGAAATGCTGTTTCTGGGAAGTGTTTCTAGAAGTCTCGCTTGAATGTACACAATGGTCGATATAGCAGTTTGAGGAAAGACGATGAGAGCTTGACAGCTGTCTTATAACCACCTTCATCGCAACGAATTTACCGTTCGGTTTCGTTTGAAGTGATGCTTTACCATGACATCAGATGATACCTGGCATCCTCAAAGCTTCATCCCCGTTTCGACGAATGCTCCGCAGCTCCAATGCCTGCGGAAGCGGCCAACGAACCTGAGCCGCAGTTGCATCGATCGCCACGCGGAGACATTTCAATAGCACCGCACCTATGTAAGCCCCTGCGGATACGCATGCATGTATTCGATAATCCGGCTGCAATAAAGAATCGGGTTTCCAGCCAATAGCCACAGTTCCGCGACCAACCACGCGTAACAAGCTGCCTCGAAGCTCCCGGACCGCATCATGAGGTTTCACCCCTCTCACAAACGTCAGCCGCGGAACAGTTACGCTGCGGATCCGCAGGCTAGTTGTGCCCGGGTTGGCGTGCGGGAAGGATGTCGCATGCAAGTGCGGAGAGCCGACCGTCACTCGGGCGCGGATCCGCATGTGCCGTTGCTACCGCAGCGTCTGCGGGGAAAACGAAAACCTTCGTGTCGCCATCGTGGAGGGCTGCCCCCTGTCGTTGACGAATCACGCAGCCCCAGCAATGAGACATCTAACTAACTTTCCCTTCATCCTTGGCAGAGTTCATGGTGTGTGCTGGCCTGCCAATTCGGCATTTACTCGCTGCAGACCGAGGTTCTGCGCAGCGCGGGATTGGCTCTTTTAATTTTCTGCCCTTCGTCTATGGATACCGAAGTGCGTTCATTTTGCCATATTGAGCGGAACCTGCGCTACGACTATCAGCAGTGTGCAAGCATGCAGAACTAGCGGTTACACGCCAAGAATAGCCGCAGGTTGAAAAGCCGCATTGTAACCTCGGGTTTACACACCCGCTTGCCCTTTTCTTCAGCAGAGACAACGTGCTGAATCGTCATCGTTCATCCCATTGAATCATTCCCACGCGGCAAGCCATCATTCTAATTGAATCTCAGCCCTACTTGCGCCTAATCATGTCTCTCTCTGCTCAGACGGTCAATGAGCTGAAAAGCCTCGTTGACAATGCCACCAGCAACGCCCACAACATCCCGGGGACGACAGTCGTCGTGGTAGACCGCAGTGGGGCGGAACAATTCGCTCACTCTTCAGGAAAGCGCGGAATCTCATCCAGCGAGGAGATGAGTCTTGAAAATGTCTTTTGGATTGCATCCTGCACAAAGATGGTCACGGGCATCGCGTGCATGCAGTTGGTTGAGAAGGGGGTTCTCAAGCTGGATGACTCTGGCCATCTCGAGAAGCTGTGCCCGGAGCTCGCGGAGATCAAGGTACTGAACTCGGAGGGGAAACTGGAGGAAAAGAAGAGAGGTATCACGCTTCGCATGCTTCTTACGCACACTGCTGGCTTCGGATACACCTTCTTCGACCCCCGGCTCCGAGACTTCAGTTACCCAGCTGGCATCGATGAGTTTTCTGGTAGTATCCGGGACATGATGCAACCGCTCGTCTTCCAACCTGGTGAGAACTGGGAGTATGGCGTAAGAAATTCAATGCGTCTGATTGCTGAAAGTTTTGGTTCTAACTTGCCTTCAGATTGGGATTGACTGGGCTGGCATCGCTCTCGAGCGTGCGACAAACATGAGTCTCAATGATTATATCCAGAAGAATGTCTGTCAACCATTGGGGTTGAAGAACGTCAACATGATACCCACGCCTTCGATGAAAGCACAGCTTGCGTACATGCACTACAAGAACCCCGAAGGCAAGATTACCGTTAGAGACCACCCTCTTCACCGGTCCCTCATTGCCCAGTCCCCTGAGG